AGTCTGTCGGTCAGTCTGTCGTCATTCTGTCGGTCAGTCTGTCGGTCAGTCTGTCGGTCAAGTCTGTCGGTCAGTCTTGTCGTCAGTCTGTCGGTCAGTCGTCGGTCAGTCTGTCGGTCAGTCTGTCGGTCAGTCTGTCGGTCAGTCTGTCGCGTCAGTCTGTCGTCAGTCTGTCGGGCAGTCTGTCGGTCAGTCTGTCGGTCAGTCTGCCGTCAGTCTTGTCGGTCAGTCTGCCGGTCAGTCTGCCGGTCAGTCTGCCGGTCAGTCTGCCGGTCAGTCTGCCGGTTAGTCTGCCGGTCAGTCTGCCGGTCAGTCTGCCGGTCAGTCTGTTTGTCAGTGCATACGTCTTTTTGCCCGTCTTTCTGGCCTTTTTCGTTGTGTTTTTGTGCGTATGTCTCGTAAATGATTACTAGTATGAAATGACTAAACATAATTTTGCTGCTCTTTTAATTTTTCAAAAATTACATTTGTGCATTGTTCTAGTATATGGACATATATACGGAGTAATACACGTAGAATAGAAAAGTTTTGTAATGCTGTGGAAAATCGATTTTCATATTTCAACAGAAATACATGTTTTGGGATCACCTTTTACCGAAAAAGTATTGTTTTTTTGTTTTGTTTTTTCAAAATGTCCATCCGTCTGTCCGCCTCGGAACACCACTAGCGCCTATAACACGTTTTCTTTCTTTAGTTTTTTTTTAAATGGATATTCCTTGGCCGTTCTGCTTCGTCTCGAATTTTTTCTATTTGGAAAGACTTTCATTTGTTTTCGGAGGTACTCCACATGGGGACATTTTCAAAATTTTTTTAATAATCAATCCATTTGTTCTGTTTTTACTTTCTCGCGCTTAAGAACTCTTAAATAGAGAAAGTTATGTAATGCTGCACGCAAAAACCGCGGGCCATGGTCACGAAAAGGTGGATTAATGTCGTTTCAAAATTTAGAAAAAATCCTTAAAACGTGGTGTAGCTATAATCCTTGTTTTGAGGGTCCTTGATACCGAAAAATAGATTGACTGCAAAAACGAATGAATGATTTTCAAAATCCCAGAGTTTCGACTCAGCTCAAATGGACAGGGGTTTCTTCAATTTTAAAAACATGCGCTGGTGTCGTTCACATACACCGCACGGACGGACGGATGTTTTGAAAACACACTTTTTCGGTATCAGGGGACCCTAAAACATGTATTTCCGTTGAAATTTCGAAATCGAGTTTCTGCAACGATTACATAAGTTTCTTGTACTACGTATATTACTCCGTACATACGTACATAAAACCCAAAATTCATAAATTTATAATATCAAGAACCTTGGTGTTCATTAGGCCTCAATTACAGGGTTTTTAGCTCAATTCGCAACCCATATCTGGGAACACCACCTCTTGTGTTGGCACTCTGGCAACGCATGATATACCTTTGGCATCCCTTTCACTTTCAGCCAATCACGACCGTGTGCTCTTATATTTCAAATTAAGAGAATGTGGCTAATTTTAGTTGGAAGAAAGAGAAAGCACTTTTTCTGTCCTTGTTACTCTTCAACATATTGCAGCCACTACACTGAAAGGAGTAAACGCCTGCCTCTTGGCAAATGATGGTCACTTTGAGCATTTACTCGAAGGTAATTTTTTTGTCATTTTAAGGAAATTATATTTTATAATTTTTATTAATTATTTTCAATAATTATTAGTTTACAACTAATTTATGTTTTATATTTTTAATAATTATATTAAGGCATTCTTATTTGCTTAATAATCATATTCAATAATAATAATAATAATAATAATAATAATAATAATAGGCGGTTTTGGACATCTTAATAGATTACCAGAAAATCAATTGACAAAAACGATAGTAGATTACATAACCTTACTGAAGAACCCAACACCGTGACTGAACAAAATTCGAAAAGACCTCATAAAAGCTAATAGAAGATCAGATGACATAGAAAGAAACACCTTCAGACACAAAGTGGATAAGTGGGAAGTTGCACCAGAGCAACTTAAACATAAGCAATACTGACCAAGGTGGTCAGAAGAAAGTAAATAAGCTTTCTCGGAAAGAATGAAATAATATTGGAAAAACAAGACGAAAGTTGTTTTGTCCAAAGAAAAATTCATTATTTTGCTTAGGGTATAGTATCTATGGGGAGAATTCGCCAACAACAACAATAATAATACATTATTGTGATAATGAAGAGCTTCGCAGTAGTGTTTCACAAGATATCTTTCTAATTTCTCTCCGACCCGACTTTCATTAAATAATAATTATTGCTACGTTGGTATAAATAAATTGATAAACAGTCATAACTTCCCTCCACATTTTCAGTATTACAGTTTGTTCCTTTAGCATACTGGATAGAATCGCCTAAAGAGACGTTTTTTGTTTTGTTTTGTTTGTTTGTTGTTGTTGTTGTTTTTTGTGTGTGTTCTTCTCACTCCTCCCAACCCAACCCACTCTGTGCAGTGTGAAAAACGACCGGCGTGTAAGCCGGGTATTGCCCTCCTAAGCTCTTGAATGAGCAAAACACAGAAACAGGGACGTTGCTACAGCTTATGACTGGCGGTCACCTCCTCTGCTGTCTCGACGTGCGAGGCTCGGCTGTCTAGAAATGTGGCCAAAAAAACGCGGTTTCAAAATTGCCAAAACAAGAACAAGTAGTTCAGATATGGGTTGCGATTTAAGCTAGAAATCTTGTATATAATCAATTACCGATATCATTGAAAAATCGTAAGTCGTTGAATATTTTCAATCACAATATAAAGATTGGGATTTTAAAACATAATGATAATAATATAAACACGTTAACTGAAATTTTGCATCAAAACTGTTTGCTGTGTATATTAAGTATGATTTTATTTATGGAGTTATATATTTGGCTGCGTAAATATACCTATTCCATCTCTATAAATTTTCACTTATATGTTTTAAAGCTAGTTTTTCTTATTTTTTATATTTTCACAAAAACATTGGTTGTAAATTTACAAAAAAAGAATATTATTAAAAAATCAGCTCACACAAAAAATAATACGTAGATGTAGACAGATTACAAATTATTAATCCAGTATTGTTAAACATCACAACTGGTTATCGATGGTTAGTAATTCCAAGAAACTACAATGTACATTATCTCTGAAAACAATATGGGGACACACATTACTATTATTATTAATATTATTATCATTATTATTGTTGTTATTATTATTATTATTATTATTATCATTACGGAGTGAAGAAAAAAGGAGAGCACGGGTCGCTCGAGAGAGAAACCTGAAAAATGAACTCAGTCGACCAAAAATGTATACTTCCTATTTCGAATATGAACAAACACTGAAAGTCAATACATTCCGATCCTCCAATTCAGGGCATCAACTGATATCACTGCAGTGCCTGACCGGGAAGTCCTAGGTTCGAGTCCCGGCGGTGGCAGGATTTTCGACACTAGCTAGATAGCTGGGTCGAACTCAGTCGCTGTCTGGAGGAGAATTCAGTGACCGGCTGCTCTGATAGGTAGTTTTCCGCGGTTTCTCCGATCAACACCAGGTGAATGCCGGAGTAGTACTCTAACAAACGGGCCACGGACCGCGCGCGATCTTTCCTTCCTCTTCCTTTTTCTATCATCATCCCTTACTTACACTCACCTACATTTAATTCACTACACTATCACACATTCAGGGAGACCGATTGGGAGCTTAGAGCTTGTCCCGGCTGGGGCGATGCTCTGCTGGTGGGAGATACCTGGTTAGGGGAAACCCGTTTAGCCGACGGTAGGTCGGCGCCGGATCTCGTCACCCAGCGGGGGAAGATCGCCGCCGCCGCCCGAGGAAAACTCCTGAGCTGTTGTCGCGCCCGGAATCAATCGATCCTCGAACCGAACCAAATCGATCCTCCAAGCTTTAGCGAGACACTTGTAACCACATACGTAGTTGGGACCCGTACAGAAAATGGCAAATCGAAGCGTTAGATAAAATTCAAAAACGCGCCTCAAAGTTTGTAAATCACGGGTGCGTTGGTGACGAACGAGAAGAATGGGAGTCCTTATCTAAGAGAAGGGAACGGGCGCGTTTATGCGTAATGTATAAGACATACAGAGGGGACACAGCATGGGCAGATATCGGTAAAAGATTACAGAAATCAGATTATAAAAGCAGAGGAGACCATCCTTGGGAAATACGATGTAGAAAGCAAAGAACTGATGTAGGCAAGTTCTCCTTTGTGAATCGCACTATAGTAGATTGGAACAAACTATCTGCAGAAGCACTAGAGGCTCTTCCTTCTAATGTAGCCAAATTTTAAAAAATGCTTCATTCCATCTAGATTAGCTCAAATAATACTGACTGAAAAATTTGTCTTTATTATTATTTTTATTATTAATACTTTTATTATTAATATTACTATTGCTTTTATTATTATTACATTATTACTGACAAATGTACAAATGTATCATAATTGTTAACACTGTCATTAGCTTTGCGGAAAACTTTAAGTTATTATTATCTCTTATATTGTTATTGTTATAATTATTATCGTCATGCCCTTATACAGAGAAGTGAAGTGAAGTGAAGTGTAGTGTAGTGGAGTGGAGTGGAGGGGAAGGGGGTGTAGTGTAGTGTAGTGAAGGGAGTGCAGTGTAGTGTAGTGAAGTGTTATGTAAACTAGAAGTGAATTTAGAGTTAGCTAGAAATAAATTGGAACAATGATATCGACCCCCAATTCTAATAGCAAAGCTAATTGTAAATGTTGAAAATGTTTTGTAATTCTAATTCTAATTGTCATCATGTTTGCCACCCAGCATTAGCTCAAAGCGAACTTTAATAAATCTATCTGTCTACTATTACGATAGTTAGTTATATCTTAGTGGTATTTGTTTTCAATTTCTTATTGTTTTTAAATATTTTTTTGATTGTTTTTAAAAATTTTAGGCAGGTCATTCGTAATACACGATCATAAATTAATCATTTTGACTCCTTACTTTCATAATGACATCTCATGTGTTCCCAGACGGCATTAAAGGCCAACTACGCGCCAAGCTGGGTGTTGAAGTGACTTCTGCGGGCATCGGCAATAAGGTAAGTAGTTCGGCTGCCAAACCCAAAGATCTTCTCAGTTCTCTCTTTTATTATTAATAAAAGTGCTTAACCCTCCTTTTCGACATCTTGTTATGAAAGCATTACAATGTGACACCTCGTATCTCGATAGCAACAATCGACTTTTTTTGACGTTACAATAAGTGTTCTTAGTTTTTGAATTCGCATCTGATGAGAAAACAAAACTTCCAATCGTATTCCCCTTGTTTTCCACTAATTGTTTGTATTTCAGCGGAACGCCTTCCAAATCTGCGACCACAATTCACCCTATTTCCTGCTAAATGATATTTATAGCTTTTTAATCTCATGACGAGAAATGCCTCGTCGCATTGTATCAGGGATTTGCAGATCAACGCACCCTGCTTCGTAGCGAATGTGCTAATAATGGTATTTTTGTCTGAGAATAAATTTTTAAACGATTATATGCAGTACGATTGTACGCGGCATTTTTATTCAGTTTACATTAAGTTTTATATTTTGTATTCATCTAAAACGTTAAAAATATATTTACATTGCGCATTCTCTTTTCGTAATTTTAAATACAAGTTTAAATGGCCTATTAACAGATATGCTCTAATTTGAGGATATTCCAGCAACATAGTTATGAGCATAATGAATTCGACGAAAAATATCGGCTGAAAGAGCGAGCAGAAGATAGATAAAAAGTAAAACAAGAGGGAAGGAAATCTGAAACTGAATTTTATGCTTCGCCTGGTTTGTGTCCACAGATTCAGCATTATAGAGACGTGTATAGATATTATATACTAGAAAATCAATTCTCAGCGCCGGAGTGGAGATAAAGATGAATAGACACATTAACTCTAAAAATATGTGACAATATCATGTTAACCTTCAGGATGACGTAGATATAAGACTACGTCGAATAGATAGAAAATGCGAAATGTGGTCGATATTCGTTAAGTAATGGTTTTAAAATGTGTCTGACTACTGAAAATATGTGATTTTTGAATGTTGGCATTTTTATATCAAATCGGCATTATTATGGATAATGTTACAGTGCTGTGATAGATGAAGCATAACATCTATTTTCATTGCCTTCTTCGCATGTTCCCTATTATCTTGTATTTTAGTTAGTTTCTTTACGACTGAGAGACTCAATCTTTCGATTGAACGAATCTCTTTGGGAGTGTTCGTGCAAGCCCCCAAGCCTAGTCAGCGGAAAGACGAATAAAGTGTGTGTAATAAATAAGCACTGAATAACCACCACTACATGACTCAAAGCCTCAATTGTAAATTAATTGAGGGAAACGCATAGAAGTATGCCAATACGTATTCCTTATTATAATATTTTATTGTATATCTGTTTGAGAAATGAACTAGATGCGTGGGATATATAGTAATTCGTTGTATACAATAAGCACAAATCTCAAATATTGCACAAGTATTTACTTCTACGAAGTACAGATTTGAGTGTACGTCGATATAGTTTTCAGATGAGCTTTCGTTTAAAACTGTTGTCAAAGTGATGAATTTCCACGATTTGATCGCCGTTTTGTCCGTTTCTACCAACATTTTTTCAGTTTATAGAGTTCCATCGATTGAAGAACTTTTTCGACAGACTCGAAGACCTTTGGCTAAGGTGTCACATCAAGCAGAAGGGCAACCCTTCGCGATATTCGAACCCGGCCTCGCGAAGCACGACGACGTGACCGTGGGGTGGCGACGGGGGGTGTGGAGGGGAGGGGGAGACGGTTGTCATGACGACGCAACAAAGCCGCACCCGCTCAATACCTGCTACCCGCTGCCATCACGGCGAGGTGATTGGCTCTACGTGATACTCCGTACGCTGACCAATCTCGTGCTTTCACGTGAAATCTTCGACCCCTCGTAATAACCTAAATCATGAAAACTGAATGTTAAAGGAATGTAACGTATACTCGTAGGAATGTAATCCTGCGAGTATTTGAACTATTGTTTTAGCGTGAATAATCAATCCAACGTATCTTCTTAAGGTTTAGGTTTTATATGAAATTAACGTTATGTTCGTAAACAGAAATGTACCGATAACTCAGCAACTACAAGAAATATAACTTAGCTTATTACGCCTTGTTTGTTTTAAATTTGTGAGTAATCAAAGAAAGTATCGCACGATACAGTAAGTTGGGCGAGTATTTTACGCGAACATAAGAATAGAGAAAAATTTTCACTTCGCTGAAAGTATAATATGAAACTTCAAGTTTCGTTAAAGGTTTTAATCTAAGAAATAAAGTGATCAAAAACAAAAAATATAACATAATTACAAAAATCCAGTAGTAAGTTTGTTTGTTTCTAGCAAAAAGACTAAACAGGGTCTAAGATATTTTCTCCTGCTTTGCATTCTTCTCTCGCTAGGTCACTTTGAGTAAGAAGCAAGCCCAGAGAAGAGAGGACATGAATTTGAATGTGGACGTTTTTTTCATTGCATGTCATCGCTGCGATGAATATTTCGCCCAAATACTTCGCATCAATCAGTAGTAGTGTTCACAACACGTTCAAAAGTGATTAGCGCCATTGATTTATCGAACAGGCATGGCAATAAACGGGGTTTTGTACATCAAAAAATAGATTAGGTTTGTAGTGTGCACCAGGCCTTGAAAATATGTCAATTACCCCAGTAGTTTCTTCCAGTAGGCGCCTCCTCGTCCAGAACTGGCTCAGTAGTGTTACATCGGGTTGTTCCTGTCCCTACCACTTCGAAATCAATGTCGAAGAATAGACGTCTTCACTAATGGTTTTATTCTCAAGAAGTAGTTAAAACTGCGTTATTTTTTGAGAGGGTCAATGAAGAGTAAAATATTGTTGTATATCTTTTGAAGATTGGCTCTCGATTCATTGAAATATTGATATCAATGCATATCAATAAACGATAATCAACTAACAGCGTAGGATGTAACAGTTTCAAACCTTCCTATTTTATTGTAAAGTCTTAAGATTCATTAAATGTTAATTTAAAAAGATTACAAATAATTTCCATTACCGTATGTTATCACACTTTTTATAGCATAATGGTAGGTCGTGCATCAGGAATCGCATCGTACATGTAGGATATTTTCTACTCTTTCCTATCCTACCTAATCTTACCTTACACGTTTTCCTATCCTATTCTATTCCATCCTACCCTCTCCTATCCGACAAATCGTGCTCACTTTAATACAAAAACTCTTTAAATGAAGTAAAATTGCTTTGTTCATTAGGCTTAGAGAATGATGAATTCTTGCCACTATGACTTATACGATACTCATAGTCAATACGGAGTACTACTTCACGAAGCACTCCGAAGAAAACACTCGAATTTGTGGAAAAACAATTCATGGCATTTACATCGCAATATTGCACCTGTTCACGCTTCACTGAAAACCGCTGCCTCCAAAACATTCTATCTCAAGTAAAACTATTTTGAAGATGATAAAATCAAAATTTATGAATATTTTTTTAGAAAAACTAAGTGTCCGCGTATTTACTGATCGTTAGACAAGATTTAATACTAGAGAAGGGATCAGATTATCCGTGTCCCGATTTACCAAGGCAGTCATTAGGAGAAGTCACAGAATGATCCCCTGCAAAATAGTGGAATAAATAAGCATTTTTAGGAATATTGATGCTTTCCTCAGTTCCGTAATCATTGAATCCCCACGTCAAACATTGAGTGTGTCCTTTGACTTTGATACACTCAGTTTTAGTTGTCCCTCTACGTACACAGTAAACGTGATTATTCAATTTTTGACATTTTTCTCGAATATGGTTTTATGCAATTTATATGTTGTCACTGTACACAATCATTTACTAAATATGTGTACTCAATCCTTATTAAATAAACGTATTATCAGTTGTCGTGCCAGAGGTAATCTTAGGCCAAATAATGTCGATACTAGTATGTATGTACAAATTAAGATTCGATAAGATGAAAATGTACCGTTTTTTACAAAAAAATGTAAATGCTACTAATAAACGTTGAACAAATATAAAATTATTTTCAGTCATTAATCTATCATTATATCATTTTTGTAAAACAACTAAAAATGACGTTGTAAATAAAAAAAGACGTACCTATAACTTTAAAATAGTTAACTTCACAACAAAACCTTATTGAAATTTTATGTAGAAAATTGTCTACTTTAATTTATACAGTATGTAACTTTCTGTAGGGCTGATAGTTGTGGGGATACATGCAAAAAACATGGGAAAACACCTTTAAACGCCCAGCCTGCGCCCCGACTTTCCCTCAACACTTTAGGGGTTTTAGTATTACGTGCGGTAAGAATAAACAATCATGACCAAGTTTCAAAACTCCGTGATTTTTTTTTCACTCGATTTGTCGAATTTTTCTGGGCTTCCTGACCTAATCAATAAAAAAACAAATATTACGAAGAGCGTGAAATATCGAAATATGAAAAGAGGAGGTTTTACTGTCCTATTATGCACAAATTCAAATTGTTACTTCAAAATAGAATATTAAACTTGTCTTTGAATGACCATATGGAATCCAAAGACATTGCTAGTCAAACGAATTTTGGATATTATAAAGATTTGAGTCAAAACATTTAAGAATTACTTCATCTGCATCTTAGTTCTTACAAGATTAAAATGCAGCACTATGTTGATATCTCAACATATCAACTGTTCAAGAACAGCTCCAAGAAATAACGCCTGGAAGTAGTCCTAGTCATCTAGTACTAAAACTCCTTGATAATAGAAAATAAATATCTGGCCCATATGAATATCCTCTCCATCTTCCTTATCATTTCGATAAATAACATGCATCCAAAGAAGTTCTTTTATTTTGTCATAATATTTTTCAAAAATCCTCAGTTTTGTTGTTCTAATAATCGTCAATAACATCATTCTAATATTGCCAGTAACTTTATTATACTAGTTATGTTAAGAACACCAAGGAAAATACTTATGAATGACTAACATTTCATTTTATTTTGTAAATATCTTTTGTCATAGTATTTTGTGATTTTATCCCCTATGAAAAAGAT